CCCCAAAACCCCAAAACCCCAAAACCCCATAGTAGCTATAAAGACTTAAAATAATAGAGTTTAATATAAAATGAATCCCAGTAGTATTGAAGATGAAAATCTCTCTCAAGAGATTCTAGATGAAGGAGCACTTGTCCCAAGAAGAATCAGCTCCTTACATTTGGACAATGTAATATCTAGCACGCCTTTTCAGAAGAAGAAGGAATATTTCCAAAGAGTGGTATCATGATCGATGACCATGAAAAATGAAGATAACGAAAATAGCTCTTTGGGTATATGAAAAGTAAAAGCTATGGAAGCTAAAAAGCATTCTTCATACAACAGACAAGAATTTAAAGGACTACAAAGCGATATTAGAAACTTGCTACGGAAGGCTATACAAATAAGAGACTTGTACAATATAGACTCAGACCAAGAAGATGAGCCTGAGACTAGAGAAATACCGCATCAAAGAAACGAAAATCCCGACCCTAGAGAGCTAACTGTGGCTGATATTGAGAAGCCTTCATAAAGTATTAAAATATCGACCATTAATAATTGCTTACCTAAATAATTCAAAAACTTCATATCAAAACTTCTAAAATTCTCCAAAAATACTACCCATCATACCCGATTCCCATACATCTATTATCGCCTAGCACCACAATTTTTGCTACCCTTCCTTAATTCCATTGACATCGACCCCTTATCCTATCTGTTATCGCTTCCAGTGCCAAAGTCAGTTAATGTGCCTACTAAGCTAGGTCTTTTCTCAGTCTCGACTCTTTAATAATAAAGGTGATGGGTACTGAAAATGGGATGAAATAACCCCCTTCCCTCCCCACGCCCAAAAGTCATCCATTTCAGCTAAGCCACCAATAGGTTTTAACCTAAAACCCTGAAATATTTCGTACTAACTTAGTAAGGCTGGATTCATGCCTGAAGAAGGAGATAGAAAAAGGGTAGAGGAAGTGGGTTTGAAAAGGATTGAGAGAAGAGAGGTGGAGGGATGTAGCAGAGTGCAAGCAATGGGGTTGGATGGGTTGATGGGTAGGGTATATTATTAAATGAGATCACTAAAATTCTTATTCTTTTTATCTAAGGCAAAGGAAGCTGAAGTATTCAGAATTCAAGAACTTATTTCAAAATTTTGGTTATCTCTTGTTAACTTAAACTAAAATGAATACTTTCGAAAAATCAGATGCTTCTATTTGAGTACTTTGGAGATAAATTTGGTATAATAAAAGAAATTTAATCCAAACAATTATAAGCTAATATTATCATTAAAACTAAAGTGATTTTTGTAATTATTATACTCCCCTCTTATACTTTAGTATTTTCATATAAAATCCGCACACAAAAACCTTCAAAACTCACCTTCTCCCTCCCTCTTTCCCAAACCTCCTCCAAAACCTTATTATTCCCACTAAAACCCTTCTAACCTCCTATTCCTTCCCAACCCCCATACTTCCCCTCCCTCCCTCCCCTCATCTACCACTTCCATATTTTTCCCAATTACTCCCCTTCCAATCTAATCTACTCCTCCTGGGGTTTTGGGGTTTTGGGGTTTTGGGGTTTTGGGG